TAGGTAGTTTAGAGGATCCGGCAAAAGATTTCAAAGAACACTACAATGAAAGATCTTAAAATTATTTAGTTAAATACTATTTATATTAATAATATTGGTTTATGTTATATTATAATATTATTTTTTGATGTTTAAAAAATGTGATTTTTTGATGTTTGAGAAAAAAACCCTTAAATTAAAGGAGGGGGGAGGGGGGGGGGAGGGCTTAAGATTTTTGTGCCAATATTAAATTTGATCGATGAATCTAGATTTAGTTATTAATAGTAAAAAAAATAATATATCAACTTTTTGCTTTTACGTTTGGCGAAGTTTTACGTGAGGCGAAGTTGCATTCACTTCGATTAACAAAGACAGAGGTAGCATTTTATACGAACCGTCTCTTGTAATAATGCATCAGATTATTTTTTTTCAAATATTGTCAATTGGAAAAAACGCAACAACATTTAGCTTTGCAATTTGTTTTAATTTGTCTCTTTCTTTCTTTCGATTCAGGACTTTCTCTTGCTAGGCTCAGAATTAAAAGTATAATAAAAATTGAGTCAATTGAGTAAAAATAGAGAAAATTGTGACTTTTTATTTTATTTTCATAATTTATTTAAAAACTTGTTTTGTTTAACTATATAAAAAAGTTGAATTCTTGCTGGCTGGCCTCTCCAAACGCTCTGGCACGGCAGCGGCTGCCTAGGCTAGACATGGGTAAAGACGGGACTGGCTGAGGGGTATTAAGTGTGTATGTCTTCATTGCCGCAAACAATTAAGGTGTAATTGAAGTAGTTTTTCTCAGCTTTCAATGATAAAAATGTATAAGCAGCAGAGGCAGATCCTGCATTTTTTGGTCTTTAAGATTGCTAACTTCAAAACATGGAGCGAACTCCAAACATTTATATGTTTATACTAATGTCAAATAAAGATGCTTTGCAAAAAATTGTGATGATTGGAGCCCGGGAACAAAAAAGCCCCAAAATTTTTGCCGCCCCAGCCCCAAACGTGAGAGCAACAAGTTGATGAAATATTTTTTGTACTATTTTCAACTAGAATTATATTTATCCATAAATTTTAAATTTTATAGTAAAATATTTTAGCGTTCAAAAATTATGACCATATAAAGTTTATACCCCCTCAATTTGAAGGGGTTGCAAATTTTATAGGGCCATAACTTTTGAACGCTAAAATATTTTACTATGAAATTTAAAATTTATCGAATAATATAAGTCAAGTTGAAAATAGTACAAAAAATATTTCATCAACTTGTTGCTCTCACGTTTGGGGCTGGGGCGGCAAAAATTTTGGGACTAAATCAACGTAATCTAACTTTGATTTTAAGTTTGTTTTCAACGTTGATCTAACGTTTAGATTTCAACGTAGATTTAGGTTTCCAATTTAACCAAAAATTAACTATTTTTTAGCTCAAAATTTCGACGTTTTTTCAACACTATTTCAAGGTTGATGTGCTAATTGACTAAATGACTTTTTAAAGCAAGACGGACGAGTCGGCAGTTATGAAATTGATGCATTTGTTAAATGTTTTTCTGCTATTTTAGCCTTTCTAAAAAATGTAGACATTAAAAATATTTGTGATAAAATTTATATGTGATATAGGAAGATCCAAAGAACATAAAAAAGAATCAGAGCAGAAGTTATCAGACTAATAGTTTTGATAAAGAAACATTCATTTGTTTTTCTGATGCTGTTTCTGCAAAAGCTGTGAAATAACTTCTTTTATTATCAAACTATTTGCAAAGCAAAGATAAAACTATTTCATGTGAAAAACAGTTGAGCGGAATTACAAAAAAAAAACATTTTATTATAAGAAGTAATGCAGCTTTTAAAGGTCTAAATGTGACAATAATTTCTTTAATGAAAAAAAAGCACCAAACTAGATGTTGAAGCTGAATTTAAAGAAAGTTTTAAAACGAGTTACAAAAGTGAAACAGATTACAGAAGAACTATTAAGACATAAAATGGTTTATGATTTAACTATATGCATTAAATGTGGATTTGTATGCACTTATAACCCAAATAGATAAACAATTTCACGACTTTTGTTAAACAGTTACATATTTGGATTGATCTGCCAAAATTGAGAAACTGTGGTAGAGTTTAAAAGATGCAAACCTTTTATGCTCTATGATTAAATCGACTTCAAAAAATTTTAAGTCATGTTGGGACATGTTTTAATTTATTTTAATTTGGACATATATATATATATATATATATATATATATTTAATTTGGATATATATATATATATATATATATATATATATATATATATATATATATATATATATATATATATATATATTTATATATATATATATATATATATATATATATATATATATTTGGGAGTCCCACTTTTATCCTGACCAAAAAAATTTCACATGCACCCTTGAAGACCTAAAATTTTTTTTGGTCCCAGGACCCACCAAAAAAAATTTTAGGTCTTCAAGTCAAGAGGATCCAGTACAAGGTATTTTTATATGCCAAGTTGCATGGAATTATTCGCCCCCCTTCCTCTTGGTGCCCCCAATTTATGGATTGAATAGTAGAAAATTATCTATTTTACATTTATTTTTCTTCTGGAAAAAAAAAATCTTTCATTTAAGAGGTAATACTTGTACATATTGGTCATTTAAAGACAAATAAAGTCAAAAATCGCATAAAAATTACATAAAATCATTTTTTTTCATGTCTTTTCCAACCTCTTTTCGGTTTTTTTGCACAACTTGCAAAGTATCCTGTAGAAGACCTTTTTCATAACTTTCAGCCACAAATCTTGCACAAGTTTTATGTGGCGCTCAGCCCTGTCATTTACTACCTCTAGATTCTCGATCTTGAAAATGTTTGAAGGAATCATTTTCAAAGTTATCCTTTATCCATGTGTTGATTACTCCCGTATTTATACCTAGGTATGTGAAGAGCAGCCAGGACTCCTTAGTGATAAAATCGGGCAAAACTGACATGGGAACCACATCAGTTGGAGGTTGAGGTTGTTCCCTTTCAAAATCATCAGGTTGCGGACAATTCAAACCATGCAGCTTCTGAGCTAGTCTAGCTCTTTCCTTCAGTCCTAAATGTCTATTTGCTATTGAAAGAATAACTAGCTGTGAGGTCAGGTACCAACTATGACGGACCAGGCTTGCATGGAGCAGCTTTCCCAGGGGGCCATACTTAGATATATATAGCTTATTGCTCATCATTTCATAAGCTAGCTTAAAAGCATCCAAATCGTGTGATGGAGCCTGGGCCGCCATAGGAGACTTTAAAAAGTATGCTTCATAATGTCAACTGACTTTATTGTCACATTTGGAGCATACTTTTAAAAAGTATGCTCCGAATGTGACAATAAAGTCAGTTGACAGTTCAAGCATATTTTTCTCACTTTTATTCAGCATTAAATTAATTTTTAAAGTCAGCTGCATTGTAAGCAAGTATAGACAATCAGCCATGAACCTTGCTTGATGATGGGCACCTGGTTGTTTGAACTGGAAACCAGGTACGTGGCCACCTAGGTAAATTACTATTAGCTCACAAAGAACTTTATAATCTCCCCTTTGAAAGCAATCTTGTTTTAGGGCTGTTATGCAGAAGTTCTTAGTATCTAATACCCCTCTATGAAAATCAGTACCTACCATACACTCCTCTCTCCCATAATTAAAAAAAAGCAACTGATCAACATTATTTGCCCTTTCTCTTATTTCTGACCAAACTTTTTGAAAATCTCTATATATTGCACGTGATGGAGAATTTGTTGAACCTTGAATATAATCCATTGCATGGGAAATGTGCCTTTCAGATATATGGTGCCTTTAAAGATCAATTTTCAAAAGATATAAAATGTAATAATTTTGCAACAGTTTCGTGCAGCAAACTTTTAAAATATGTTATCAAAATAATTTAATTACCTACAGAGCAGCCATAGCACAGGTCTTTTAAGCACATGATCCACCAAGAACTTAATTGCCCCCTTATATTTTCCAGTAATAGAGGCCGTTGTATCGGCACTACATCCAACGATCTGGTCAGTGAGTTCATAATACTCTAATATGTTCTGAATAGCTATAGTTTGATCCTGCTCTTTAGATGACTTAATTTCTAGAAATCCTAGCAAAAATCTAAGGGTTCATAGACCTGGGGGGATGATATACTGAGAGCAGGTATTTCTACAATTTCAGACATTTTTTGGTAAGTTCGATAGTGTTTGACCAGTTTTGTATCAAAATGAATGATGACCTTTAAACCCCAAACTTTGTCCAGATTTTCTTCTCTCACTATTCTAGCTTCATTTTCAATCACAACCTTTTTGTTTCTATGTAGAATACTCTTTGATACAGGAACTGTATTTAGATCAACACCACAAACCTTGAAAAGTGAGGACAGAAGTGAAGTTTCAGCTCGAACACTGACCTTGTACCTAGTCAAGAAAGGAATCCACTCTTCAAGAACATCATTCATTAAAAGCTCCATGTAAACTCTATCTTCACTGATCTTCTTTTTTTTTTTTGGCAAGGCTCAAATTTACTGTCAGTATCAGTGGCACTCATACCACTTGAACATAGAGGACATATAGAGCTATAGAAAAAAGCTATAGATGACATAGAAAGGATGAAATTCTTTCATCCTTTCTATGTCCTCTATAGCTTTTTTCTTTGACATTTCTCGTTTTTCTTTTTTATGTTGTTCTTCTCTACGCATACTTTCTATTTATCTAACATTCGTTTTTTCACGCCTATGATTTTTCTTGATAAGATTTATCTTTCCAGTGTCAAACTTAATCATTTCTCCTTTTAACGCTCTCTTCAGGAACTCAATATCTTCTGTCTTTGCTTGCTTGTCTCTATTTTCGTCATCTCTTATAAGTTTTAAGATGTCTGTTTTATAAACAGGAAAAATACAGTTTGCTTCTTCTATAAAACTCTCTGTTTTTGTTTTATATTGCTCTTCTTTGATCTTGTTTATTTCCATAAGGGTTCTAAGACTATATATTTTCTTGAGCGTTCATAAGATTTCTCAAGCTTCTTCTTCACTACTTGTTCTGTAACCCGAAATTTTGAATCAAATCCACTCTTGTCCCAAAGACTTAACAGTTCTCTCAAAATGCATACTCCAGTAAATTCTCCCCTGTTACTTTTCGTACACTCCCCTCCAATGCAAAGCATAGATCTTGACATTGTCTTTTGTGCACAGGATAGTTTTGCGTTATTCTTACTTGCTCTGAGCCAATATATTCTACGACAAACTTCTCCCAGTGTGGGTAGTCTAAAAAAAAATCGAAAAAAAGACTTTACATATTTGTTCCAAAAGTTTTTTACCTAAAAAAAGCTTTTCAAATTCATTATTTTAATTAAATTTTAAAATAATACCTGTTTGGTGCAAACATATGTAGTGGATACTGAAGTATGTAGATTGTTCTTTTACACCTATTATTCTCTGTAGAGCTAAACTTATGTTGAAGGATGTACTTGAGGTTCCTGGTTGACAATCCCTGCTAGCCCTAGGAGAGGTGTATCTCATTGGAGGAGGACTTCTGAAACGTGTAGTAACCAAGAAGTTTTCCTCATTTTTCTCTCTTACAGTACTCCGACCATTTCTAGTCCTTGCAGATTTACCAGGAAACCCATCTTCATCATCATCGGCCATTATATATTTTAAGAAATTTGTTATAATCTGAAAAGTATAAAATGAAAGGGTTTTATAATATTTTACATAAAAGCAATTATTTGAATAGAGAACGCCACTAAAACAATGACAAAATATTGCAAAACAACATATTTGAATCAAGACTATCTGACTTTACTCATCAAAGATATAATATTTCAGTTTTTGTTTAAAAATCTCATTATATGTCTAAAATTGGATAAAAATTACATTAAAATGTAATTTTATGCGATTTTCGACTTTATTAGTCTTTAAATGACCAATATGTACAAAAATTACCTCTTAAATGAAAGATTTTTTTTTCCAGAAGAAAAATAAATGTAAAAGAGACAATTTTCTACTATTCAACCAATAAATTAGGTGTACCGAGAGGAAGGGGGGCGAATAATTCCGTGCAACCTAGCATATAAAAATACCTTGTACTCTTGACTTGAAGACCTAAAAAATTTTTTGGTGGGTCCTGGGACCAAATAAGAATGATTGAAATAGGGTGCATGTGAAATTTTTTTGGTCAGGTTAAAAGTGAAACACCCTTATATATATATATATATATATATATATATATATATATATATATATATATATATATATATATATATATATATATATATATATATATATATATATATATATATATATATATATATATATATATATATATATATATATATATATATGTATATGTGTGTTTGTGTGTGTGTGTGTGTGTGCAGCCGTGGCGCAGTGGTTAGAGCGCTTGATTTATAAGCAGGAGATCCAGGTTCGAAACGAGTTCTGGACATATTTTTGCGTCACGGTAAGGAAGGAGGCGTGAACTTCCTGGTGCACTTCCGTGGTGCTCTGTGCACTTCCCGATGCACTTCCGTGGTCTGTGCACTTCCCGATGCACTTCCGTGGTGCTCTGTGATAAGACCGTTTGGTCTTCTTGGGGCACCTAAATAACAAAAAATGTATAAATATATATTTGTATTTATGAAAATATTTTTAGGAAAAACATGATATTCTTTGAACTTAACATGCTTCAGAGTTAAATACTATCTTTTCAAAAGATACGATTTACAATTAAAACTCTGGTATATAAAATTTATAATTAAAGACATTACAGAGTAATACTAACAGATAAAAAACTTGTAGCAATTTTTTGTCAGTTTGCATTATATTATATTTACAAATCATATATAAATTTTGCAAAACAAATTTAAATTTACCCGAATCGACCTTATGTTGTTTTTTATAAAGTTAATATATCAAAATTTGTTAATATATTAAACATTTGTTAATATATTAAATTTTAAATGGTAATTTATATTTTAAACTCAATTACATAATGTTTAAAATTTACATAAAATTTTGTAAAGAACAATCTTATAGCTGCCAAATATTTCTTTGATGAAATTAAGTTAAGGGTATACTGACTTGTCAAGTTTAATCAAAATGAATCAGGGAATAAATGAATTAGAAGCAATTATCTTATGGAAATAGGCACTTAAAAAAATATGCTGATTTAAAAAAATGCTTCAATCATAGCAGTGGGAAAAGCCTAGAACAGATAGTTAAAAAATTAAATTACTTTTAAGTACACATTGAAGGATTGATTAAAAAATAAAAAACAATAAAAATAAAAATTCTGAGTAAATCGCTTTATAGTTAAAGCAAATGTTACCCAAGTGCTTAAAACTTAATGAAAATCATAAAGTTCTTTCTTTCATTTTAGCATAGACTCTGGAAGTGTTTAAAGACTGGGGGGAGGGGGAGGGCAGAAATGGGTGGGGCTTGGAAAAGGGTACCCCTCCCTGAATGGGGTAGTTGGGAGGCATTATTCCACTGAAATTTTTTTACGCATAATTAACCCTGCTAAATGCAGATTTGCAATCCTTTTTAAACCATTATATTTAAATATTTGGTACAAAACAAAATCTGCCAAAAACAATTACAGTTGCTGCCCAAATACGTTCACGGGTTTTAGCCACAAACTCCTCCATGAGTGCTGTAATGTCAACTTTAGGAAGGTAATCTTTGTTAATGTGCATTAAAGCGAGGTGAGTGAGGCAACTCTGTGACATTGACCGCAGCCAAGTATTAGGCCGTCTCAATGCACTAAAGGACCTTTCAGAACCAGCTACAGATATTGGAACAGACAAACACAACACAACTACCTATTCCCCCATGTCAAATAACCTGCGGGTACTTGATTCAAGCTATTTTAAAGCTGCTGCTAGCTAGTATAAATATTTAGGCAGTGACTTGTCCTTAAACAACTGTGGAAGTAGTTGCAGCTGTAACTGCAACATAAGAACATTGACATTATTTAGAAAACTTTGCAGTGGCATGCTGGCTAGTGTGGCTGCATTACCTGTGGATGTGCATGAAACTATCAAAATAGCTTCTGTGCTTGCAATTTTATGCAATCCTTTTTGGTTAAAACGGCGCTGCAGTTCTGCAACTGAGTGGTCGATGGCTTCGAAGAGACTTTTAAATTAGGGCCTACATACCGTATGCTGACAGAAAATTGCTCATGACCCGCCACATCTGTAGTTTCATTAACTGTAAGGCCAAGATATGATCACTGTAATATATTAATGACAATCTTCGTTAATCTGAATGTACAAATATTTGAATAATTTCATTTTATTTTGTGTCTGACATACATGTATTAACTACTCTTTCACAGCGGGTACATCTTGTACCCGTTTTATTACAAGCTGCCATAGATTTCCATCATGATGTTCTTCTCCTCTCAATGCTAGACCCTGTTGTCCTAAATATTTAATGCTTAAAAAAATTACTTTCAAAACAGTTCGAGCGATGGCCTGAGATGATGACACTTGTTCACTCAAAATAGCAGATATAGGAGTCTGTTTGGAATACAGTGTTTTCTCTGTGGCTTCTTTAACGGCGGATGACTTTTCATGAATTGAAAATTTTTCGGTTTCTTTTTTCCAGTTGGAAAAGCCAGAATCAACAAAAACATTAGCTTGTCAATTGCTTAAAGTTACTAGTTTCTTATTCACAGCTTCCAAGCAGTTGAAACACCAAACAGAATCTGTCTTAAAAACATAGAGTAACCATAGCCAATTCGCAAACCAAATACTCTTACAGGACCTTTCATACTGATCTGATGCAAATTTCTTAGTTGGAAGTTTGTACGTAGAAGAGGTTGAAAGGGATAAAGGACTAGGGCAGTACCTGTTACTGCCGGTATAGCAGGTTTGCTTGACTCAAACTTGGCAGAGAAAAAGGATGTGGTAGATACAGGCTGTGTTGATGAATCAGAATCATACTGTGATGATGTAGTGGTTTCACAAGCACAATCACTAGTTTCATTTTGGCCCGTGTCTGACCTAAAGGATTTGTTTATAGACATTACATACATTTCACCTTTTAGTATTAGTTAAAAAAATATTTTCAGTATTCTGGCAATTATGGAATGCTGCCATAAAATGATCACACTGCGTATGCTAGCTAACCTAGGCAACTATTTCGTACAATCGTCTGTTCCATGATTTAAATTTAACTTAATAAATGCTTACTAATCTTGCTCTCGAAAAGAAAACGTCTATAGTCTTTAAACGGGGCTTCTTTGCTTCTGACAATGATTGGTTTGTTAAAGAATTGTGCAATTAAACATTAAAACAAATTTTGCTTTTTTTAATTTTATTTCATTTTCATGGAGTCCGTACTCTATACTCTGTACAATGAAATTTTTTTACTCATCGAATTCTATTGAGAAATTCTTAATTTAGTTCTCTTTTTTTGTCATGGATAATGACTTTGAAACAATAGACTTTCAAAAGTTGCGTTATGACGTTTTCAAAACTGAAAATATTTTTTTTGCGACTGAATTATATGAGGGCGATATTTTCTTTTATAACAGAAAAGTATTTGACTGTACATATTTTGTCATTAAAACTTTTAAAGTTGAACTCCAAACTAACATAGGAAAACTCACGGTAATTCACATCAACATCAGGAATTTAAATACAAATATCAATAAGCTAAAATACTTTCTTATCGAATGCAAAAGTTCTTTCAAAAAAAAAATTGCAGATCTATTATTTACAGAATAATTATAAAAGTTATGAGTGTTAAAACACATTTTACAGGAATTATGGAAAAAAGTGGCAAAAAAGCTCTTAGCAACTGGCAATAATTAATTTCTGTCATTATCATTTATTATATGTAAAGCTCATATAGTTACAGCAATAGCAACAAACAGATTGTAAATTTCATTGCCTAAAATGTTCTCTAAACACACTTAATGTATATAAGATAAATTGATGAAAGTCTGTTGCCTTGCAACGTTTTTTTTAGAAAGACCTTTTTTACCCCTTATTTCAAATACTCTGCCACAGAAGTACACCAATCACAACCAGAGTATTTAAAAAACATCAATCACACTCATTTTTTGATGAGTGACCTGAGAAACATCTAACAAAAGCACGTGCTAAATTTAGCACGTGCTTTTGTTAGATGTATGGTTTGGTGGCTTGTATAGTTTGGTTTGTATGGTTTGGTTTGTATGGTTTGGGTTGTATGGTTTGTATGGTTTGTTCAGGGTTGTATGGTTTGGTGGGTTGTATGGTTTGGTGGCTTGTATGGTTTGGTGCTTTAAAGCATCACAAATAAAAAAGCATTATTAACCCATTAATTTTTGAATAACAACTTCTGCTACAAAGTATTGCAAATGAACTTGTATCTAATACATGCGAGACTTTGCATTTCCACTCTAAATGACCATTGTATAGGGTTCAGTATCATTGAATTCAAAATAAAAATTGCTTTAATTTAATTTAGGGAAAAATTAACTATATTTTATACTCATTTTTAACTTTTGATAAAATATCCACTTGACAAAGAGATAGTTATTTTAATTCATTTTTTTTTATTTCACGATCACAAAAGATCCTCAGTTAACAATTTAATTAATGAACTTTATAAAATATTAGGGCAAACTAGAGATATAGCTATTATCACATATAATATATGTGATTAAAGAGTACAGTTGCGCTGATATGTTCCTATATGTCATAATGCTTCAGCAAAACACTATATGTCGTTTTTTTTGTGTCTATTATCTATTTTCACATGTGATAACAGATATATCCCTAATATATTTTGCACTGATGTGTT